CACAATGCGTTGGACTGACACAACTGAGGGGCACTTCTGGCAGAGTGAACAGGAGGGAAACAAATGACTGGACAGAGGAGGGCATGAACCTGTAAGGTTAAACTGCTACCAAAGGAATAAAAGGATGGAGGCACAGTCTTACAACTGCTCATTCTAGTTTCCCATGAGATAACTTACGTGTAGTTATGCTGGAGGTTAGGTCAATACACAAGGACTGTATCTTTGAGTTATAGTAATACACCCACCTGTGTGAAGTTGCTGGGCATGACACAACTTCTATTCATAATGAATAAGGAAGCAATTAAATGCTCATGTGTCTAATAGGTGCAATAGTAAAAGACACCTCAGAAATCCAGTGCCAAATTCAGAAGATGAGGTAGGGCTTGTAGTCTAAAAGGCATTTTTTAACATCAAAATGCAGGCAGTCACTGAGTAGATAGTAGTTGGTGGAGATAAGACATAAATCGTGAGAAGCAGACAGGGAAAGGAGCAGAAAATGAAGAAGGTAAAAAAAAGTGCTGGTAGAGTAGATCTAAGGAAAAGCTAAAGGAGAGAGATTCTGGGTATTGTATAATCTGGAAAAAAAGCTTGGAATGGAGAACAAAGAAACTGCCCCAGTAAATAAAGAGGGCTGCCACAAAGAAACACTGTCTCTGATACCCTCAGGTATTTCCTCCTTGTGGAAACAAACACTAAATCTTAGCTAAACACTCAGATCCCGGCCTGGAAGAGCACACTAGAGCAGAGTCCCAAAGGGTTCCTATCACCTACCGCATTCTCTTCCCAAATCGCAGTGAGCTGTTGCTGCAGAGGGAGTGCCCAGGAGATGGCAGTCTTGGATATAGCAAAACAAGTCACAAACGTTCAGTTAACTACAAAATTTTGTAGCTGTACGCTCTTGATGACTGCTGGCACTATTGAGTTCACATGGAAAACACTTCTGAAAGAGTTCATTTCTATGAGCTACCCAAATTGACATGGAGGTGTTTCACTCTAACATCAAGTTTTATTGGGACTTATGGTCCATTATGCTCAAGAGAAAAATTGGCTGTTTTAAGTATATTGAAACAGCTAAAAATAATCAACTACTTCAGAACACCGAAAAGGCACATGCTAGCAGGTTTTGAAGACGCAAGCAGCTTCTGAAATGAGGCATTTTTTTTTTCTGTATGTCAGTAGTGAACATAATAATCAGTGATAAGTTTAAAGTGTAAGGTTTAAACTTCCACTTAAATCAGTGATAAGTTTAAAGTATAAGAGGTCTTTGTAATTTCACACAAGAAATTTTTACACATATGGCAAGGTAAACACAGCTGTAGTTGATTCTGCCATAGAACAAAGGTCTGGAGTAAATATCTGGTGATTGCTTATCTTCTTCTATGACAATATTTGAAAAAGCCATTGAATTTAAACCTGGGTTTTGAAAAATAGAAAGCATTCAGAGGTGATATACTGTATCTTTGACCACTTGAACCTGAGAAAGTTCAAATGTGCAGCAGAACTAAAACAATATTCTGGGATGTGGAGAAAAAAGAATTGCAACTTTTTCTTCTTTAAAGATATTCTGTGAATTTCCTGCCACAAAGACCGTTAGGAGTCTATTGAATATTTAGTAGCAGAGTGCTTATTCATGAGATGAAGTATTAGTGAATGAGGCTAACAACTTATCTAACTTACTAAATGGAAGACCATTTGAACAAACAAAAGAAAGACAACAGGTATTAAAAAAAAATCCCACCCCTAAACCAGACAGATTTTGTTGTGAAGTTATGAAGACAATGTATACTCTAAATCATAAATTAATTCTGTTACTGTCCCTCCACTTCAGTTTAATCACAGCCCATCCTGCTTGTCTGTGCAAGGAAGCAACTAACACCAACATTAGAGAAAAAAGGAGTATCAAGCAGAGTCTAAAGGAAACCTCCTAGAACAATACCATCTCTTCAGCCTTTCTGATAAAATGAAAGTTGCCACAGAAATTCTGAGGAAACAGGTTTACTTATTGTCATGCTATAATTTAATAGACTGTGGGAAAAAAAACAGTTGTCAACTTAACCTTTTAAGAGTTTCTCCTGTTACTCATTGCAAAAAAATTACTAGACCATATGTACCTGAAGATGATGTATACATTAAATTTCATAACCACCGAGAAGTATCAAGATTTTATTGGGAATTTACATCTCTTCATATTTATTCCCCAGATATTTGAATGCTCTCGCACAGAAATTAAAATATTTTTTGATTGTAGTATACCTTCACTGGCATTTGGTTTTCATTCACTTTAATCTGTTTAGAAACTGTTTACATTTTCCATGACATACCATTCGAAATTCACTTGTGCTGAAGTCTTTTTGCCCATTTTGTGAGCTATTTCAGCTGCTTGTTGCACGGTAAGAAGCATCCCAGTGATACTGAACAGTGCATTTGGGTTTTAATTTACACAGAAATCAGCACTTCCCCCAGTTGAGGGCGCATGCTTAAAGGAACAATCCCTGTCAGTAACCCTACACACCAAGATGTCAAACAGATTTAAGTATCTGTTGCTTATAGTTTGTATCCCGTTTGCTCTTTTTTGCGGAAAGTCTCCTTAACAATAGGAGCAGATGATAACAGAGTATTTTGCTTGTCTTCAGTCACGGTGGCCTCTAAGGAATGCTGAAGTCTATGCCATGCCAAATGGACACCAAAACCAGAGGCATGGAATTGGGACTCACAGCCCCAAGCTGCCAAGAAGCAGAGTAAATAATCTCACATTGTGCTTTGTGCTACATCATTTAGACCACTTCCAACATCTGAGTTAGCTCAGGTACCTCTGCACTGTCAACATACAGTCACAACTGCCCTCATTTGAGTCAATAAATAAACATGGATTATTTCCTTTTTCACATTAGTTCAGCAAAACTGGCAAATATTTCAGGCTGACATCCTGCATCTATGCTGGAGATTCATTCCATGCCCATTCATATACAAGGTGAATATCTGCTCCAGAGAGCTGTTCCAACCCTGCATTTCAACCATGCAGAGAAGTGTGCGGAGCAATAAAGAATCAAGTGCTTCACCTGCATTAGTGCCTTTGCATGTTCTGCATGGGCAAGCAACAGCTTTCCCTGCTTATGGCTGGTTTCCTGCTTACACTAAAAAAAAAAAAAAAAAAAAAAAGAAAACAAAAGAAAACGAACAGATGTATCAAATGGAAGTGGAAAGAAAAACTAGTAACAGTAACATTTTTCATTGCATTCTCCCATAATCCTGCTAATGCTCTCCTCAGGGTGGGAAAGTCCTTGATAAGTAAATACAACATAATCCTGTTCCATAAGATTCTGTATTTCCCTTGCATGTGTCATTTTCTCTGATTAGGGCAAAATAACAGTACCCAAATGGAGACAGCTGCAACTCCACTAGATGTAGGAACTGCCATTGACACCCCTGGGAGCACCTTGCCTTCCAGTGGATGAGTTCCATAGTTGGGCAAGAACAAGTTTAGAATGTGTGTTTCATGCTAGAGCACATACTGATGTTAGATTAGGACAAAAATGAATGTTTTATCAATCCTGCACAGGTTGAAGAACTTTAACATCTACAGATGGGTTCAACAGTTGGAGAGGAAAAGCATCTTCCTGGGTTCATCCCTGTAACTGTCGGTGAAATTGTCTCATAAAGATAAAAGCACCTTTACAGGTTTAACATGCCTCCATAATTCTTGCTACCCGAAGTTTAAGACTTTTGGAGCTATAACTTAAAGTTTGGGATTCCTTTTATCAGTTCCACAGTGTCTCCACATAACATGGCAAAAAATATCAAGGGTCATTTATTATCTGATTTATTACCCTTTCAGGTATAAAGGGAATACAAATAAAAAAAGAATTTGTCCCTGTATCACATGACATCATTGTAAAGATGGAATGTCTCACAAACATTACTTTTTCTTCTTGATCTCCCTTATTTAAAAATGTTGGCACATTCTCTATTATACAGATGAAAAACTGAGGCAAAAGATTAAGTCAGAAATACCCCCCATTTAGGGCATCTAACTTGAAATGTATAGCACCTGATTTTTTACATTAGAAACTTCACATCCACTGTGCAGGCAGCAGCTGTTTGAGTTGATGGGCTCACTGGTAGCAACAGATGGAATCAGAGCTGCACAGGAAATTATTTCACTGAGTTTCATGGAAAGATCCTCTATTTGACAGAGTTAGGACACTTGGTTTGAGTTTCATTCAGACCAGAAAAGAGAATTACAAGCAATTTCTGCATCTATTAGACTATAACAGAGTTTGATTTGCTAAAATATGAATATAAGAAAATGGGGATGCTGATAAAAGGAGATAGAATAACATCTTTTAATTTTTACTGCATATTTAAATTCAACTAGTCCCATTCTCTAAACTTCAAACCAGGCGGGAACAAGTTATGAGCAGAGGACCTCTTCAGAAATTCTACGAACAACTAATTGTTATTATTTTTTTAACCAAGATATTAATTTAACTTATATTTGACTCATATCCAAGTTATCAGTCAGCAGTTGTTCTGAAAAATCTATTGGTTTTTTCAGTTATTGCTGTACCAGAGTGGTAGCCAGGGAAAATGATCCTACAGACAACTCTTTTACCAAGAATAAGCAGGTAAAATGTTTCCACAATATGAACAGGCTTGTTCAGCTTGTATACAGATACTATGTGTTTACAAAAGCACATGACTCAAATTTCTCTATGAAAGGAAATCACAAAGAGTTATTTTTCATGTAGACAATATTGAGTATTTGCAACTTCCTGACCTAATGTATAATTTTGTTAGCAAGAAACATGGAAAAATATGAAACTTTTTTTTTTAAACAAATCGCTGCTTAATAAGGTAATTATTCTTATATACAGTAAAAAAAAGCTGCTCGGTTAATTTTCTAAACCTATTTTATTTTACAGATAATTACCTTTTTTTTTTCAAACACTTAAAGAATAACCTTGGGCATAATAGAACACTTTGAAAATGATAAGACATACCTTGTTTAGCTTTACAAAGTACTCTAGTCCAGCTTCCAATGGATTAGTGTCGCAGTTCATCTGTTAAAAAAAATAAAATTCACCATCCATACATGATGGACTATTATAGCTTTTGGGTTAGGGGGTGGGGGATATTTATTTAGTTATTCCATGCAGCCTTCTATTTACTCCTCGGTCAATGTCCTCCACATTGCATATGTGCAACTTCCATTTCAATACACTGTATGTTTCCTATACGTGATTTCAACAGAATATTATGCCTATTATGCCTACTATTATGCCTAATACAAAGTATAGATATGTAAATCATTCATCTAAGTTTCAATATACAAAGTAAACACACATTTCAGTAAGAAACAAAACTTTTCATCAAAGCAGAATAGAACCTGCAGAAGACTGAATAACTGAGGTATGCACATTAATTGCAACACAGCAGAATGCCTTAGTTGGAGAGGAAAAGAAAACACAAAGCCAATTTTATTTACCACCTTCCCATCAGGTGTAGGGGGAATGATTTGTTAGGCAGCACTTGAAGCAAGAATGAAAATAATTATCACTGGGCAAACAAAAAGGACCCCAAAATGCCCACAATTTCACCTTCCTGAGTGCTTTGCTTTCCCAAGGAATTGGGAAAAATTTCAGGTAAGCAGAAATTATACTGATTTCCCCCAAGTTCTCTAGGCCCCCTGAGTAGTTCTATATTGCGAGTGAGCAAATTCAGCAGAAACAAGCTAATGGGAAATGAAAAAGTTCCAAATACATTATGAAGCAAGAATAATTGGCCTCTCATGACACAGTTATTACAGAAATAAAACATTTTCAGAATCTATCAGCCAAACTTTTGATTTCAAAACACTAGTACTCAGCAAAACCCTCATAATTTTGTTATACACAAGAGGGAAAAACATCAGTGAATCAAAGTAAGTGTCTCTTTGCCAGCAGTGCAATGGAGTATACTAGTTACTCTTATTTAGAAGAGACACTGTTCAGAATTATAGCAGCTTTTCCTGCTCAAGGTAAATTTTCTTTTCATGCGAAATTAAGAAACTGGAACAAATACTATCTGAGATAGCTCTGACTAAAAGCTGTATAGTCATAATGAAATAAAGAAAATAAACAGAAAGAATAATAAAGAAGTTATATTTCCTGACCTCTGCCCCCCAGGCTCGGAAACCCTTTTCCAGCCTTAAAGCATTCAGAGCATATGTTCCAAAGTTGTCAATTCCCTCTTTTTGGCCAGCTTCCATGATTGCATTGTAAAGAGCTACAGAATCTTCTTTTCTATGGTAGAGCTCCCAGCCCAATTCACCTGTTATACAAACAAGATTACCGGTTTCATCAGCTCAACAATGAAACAATCCTAAAAAATACAGTCCTGTTCTTGGTAAAAGTGGGGATCAATGCTGTAGGTGTTAATTCACATTCTAGGGTCAATTCTGCTATCGTATATCACATCTAATTCCCTGCAAGAACCACCAGATGATTTATGTCCTAGATCCACTGCTTAAGCAGTGGTACTATTATTCTAATTTAAACTGTTAACTGAAATTGGGAGGGGGGGAGGGCGGGGGAGGGGCAGGAAATCAGAATAACTGATAAGAAAAGGTCATGTAGCAAAGTCACAATGAGAGATGACGCTTAAGGGCATTATAAACAGATGATGACTTGGCAAGTGAACAGCAAATGTAACTGAGTGTAAATAAGCTGAAAACAAGTATAGTGTATCATATTTAGTAAAATACAAAGAGAAGGACTTCAGCTGCTTCAGAATGGTCTGAATTCAGTCCATTGCAGTAGAGATAGACATAAAAATAAATAAAAATAAAAAGTAACTGAGAAAAACAAATACTCAGTATTACAATGTTACATTTTCTAAGCACTTGACAAACACTAATATACGGTAATCCAAAAACAATTCTCGACATTGGTTTTGGAGCAAATACCACAGAGGTTATCAGAACTGGCCTTTTGTTATGTAAAATAAATATTTACACTGAGTATTCTAGAGAAAAAGGTCTTGGAAAACTAAGCACAGACCCTGACCAGGTCACATTTGAAAATCAATGTACTGCATTTCCTCACACATTTATATATAAACTGTGAAGAACCTATTGCTTATGAATACACGATGAGATTTATTTTTCAACGAAATTTTAGTTACACTTACTATTTTATTTATTGCCTCTTTTCTTAAGAGTCTGTTTTCTCTATTGCTTACCTGTGTATGATATCCTAATGGCAGTAACAGCAATATCAGAAAGTTTCAAATGTCTAGACTGGAGAAACTTAAATGAACCATCACTCAGATCGTCACTTGTCAACTTCTGGAGGATCTGTCGGGCATATGGACCTGCTACACCAAGTACTCCCATCTCATCTGTTATGTTTTCTATTTCAACTTTATATCCACCTCTCACTACTTCCTCTTCTATCCATCTGCATGTAAAACACAAGTGACGTTAATTTTTTTATGAAAAATAACTGATTTAGACAAAGATTAAAAAGGAATAATTTTTTGTTAGTGTTCATCTTCCCAGCACTCCCAGTCCCACACCTTCTCAAAACCAATGGAAGTATGTGCTACATCAGATAATCAAATCTGTCATCGATGCTAAACAGTGTTTTCTGGTGAGATACCGGTATAGGAACACAGGGATCTGGGATACAGCCAGGAAAGGAGACAATTTAAATGGCTGGAACAGTATTTTCAAGATAAGAGAAAGAAGTGATCTCATAGAACTGAACACAGATTTGCCTTTGGATCCAGAATGTGTTAATAAAAAGTCGACATACAGAAAGAGTAAGCAATAAACACAATGAATGTAAGAAATCTCAAAATAAATTCCTCTGTGAACAGAAATGTACAATCAGGATTGTTCCTTCAGTACTTAAAGTATTGGCAGAAAATTCACTTTTGAATTTTGATTTAATCAAAAACATCAGCTGGGTATTGTCTTTCAGGAAGCTCACAAAATAAATGAAAGGAGTATATTTAAAAATCTTACAAAGTACTACTTTGTTAAGCAGTGCTAAAAGATCTCAGGCACAGGGGAGTACCAAACAGGACTGCTGAAATTCTGTAGCAGTAAATGCATTAGGTCTGGTTCTGCCATTTGGTTCCTGAATGTGCCAATGGTTCTACTGTTTCCCATGAGACTATTAGGAAACAGTATATTATTTATCGTGTGTTGGGGTAGCATATTTCAGTCTTTTATGTGTTGATTCATTTTGAATAACAGATTTGTCAGCAATCTCCAGTAAGAAAAACTCTTTTTCTTAGTATGCATGTACAGCCTCTTATAGCCCTAGAAATACCACTTCCAATGCTCATCGATGAAAAGCATTTTAATGAAATCATCCTGCACCTGCTTCTACCTCCTTTCTTTCTGTTGTTTCACTTTGTGGCCCCAGAGCCCAAAGCATAAGACATTATCACAGTATCAGGAAGACTGCATCACCCATCTGGATTGGCCAGGTCAACTTGTGTTTACAAGCCTGTGGGGTCATCCATGTTTAAAGCCAATTTTCTTTTTTGCGTAAGAGAAAACACTAGAAAGGAACAACCGTGCTGTGTTCCATTATGCAATGCCAAACACAAACAGGTTCAACAAAACAAGAACTACCTCCATTAAAGTATATTACATAACTATCAGTAAATTCTCCATCTTTTTACACCAACAATAATTCAATATGCAACTGCTTATACTTCAGAATTCAACTCAACCAAGTTTCTAAGAAACCAAAATCAATAAATAAGTAGAATTCACTTGAACCTAGCAAAAGGTTTGTTGAGTAATAATTACGAATTTGGCACTTAGTAAAAAGGTTTCTATATTAATGTGACTGTATAGCACTGTGTACTTACTGTGTCAAAAATAAACTAACCTCAGATCATGGAGTTCTGACCCTGAGCCAGTTACAAGCATAAATTCTTCAGGATACAGTTGAGAGACTGTTAGCTCAGCATATACTTTTCCTCTCGGTGTTAACATATGGCTTATATTTGTGGAACCCACCTACAGAGTAAAATTTGCAATTATTAAGAATGCAAAATAAACCTTTGAATTCTTATTATGAAATACATGGAAATATGTCTTTACTTGAAAGAACGACATTTTTATGTCTGTTCTGCTATGCCATAATGGGAGCAGACAGATACACAATTGGCCAAGCTTAAGCTTTACAGTGGAAATTTCATGCTTTTCTTCATAGAAAAAATTGAGATTTTTGAAATGAGATAAATCAAGACCTTTATAAATATTTGTTAATTTTGTATTACACAGGGTGTTCTTAAGCTACATTTGATTTAAGAATGTACTTTCAATGCAAATTCAATCAATCTAAGTTTATTCTCTGATCATCAGAATAAAAAATTCTACGTGTTATTGACATAAATATTCTTTTTCAATCATGTGAATAAAGCTTTCAGATCCCGAAAGGATAACATTACTTTGCCCCTTACTTTAATGAAAGAAATACTGAGCTGGCTTATGCTTTCGTGGCCCTGATTTATGTGTCCTTTTATATTTTATGTAGTTGCTGACTATGAATCTACATCTCTGTTCATTTGAATCAGGTTCGTGTAGAAATGTGATCTCTAGAGGCAAAATTTCAGCTAACAGGTACTTAGCTGTGACCATAAAACGTACACATGTTCATACAGATATCACCCATACAAACAGAAATATGAATGTGCCATAGCTGTTGTGCTGGTCTCGTTCCAGAGGCAAACTTTAATCCCTCTTATTTCATTCTGCTTTCATAAGAACCTTGTCAATCACCCAGTCAGTGCCCAGATTCCAGACAATGAATGGAAAAAGGAAAAACATTGCAGATATTAACATTCTTCTGCAAGCTTATATTACATTCATATAGTTACTGGCATATTACAGGCACATAATTGAATTTTCAGGATCTGATGGCAGTCACACTCAGCCTGGTTGTGATATAAATGTATCTCCAGTAACTTCACTGAATTATCTTATGATGCAGACAAGCATGAATGGTACCAAAAATTAGCTTAAATAATCAACTGTTGTGAATGCTGGAGTTTTAAGTGGACTCATAAACTGATCGTTCTATTTTGCCTTCTATCCTTCTTTTTCCCCTTAGCAACAGAACAAAAACTCCACAGAAAGGACTCACTTTGTTCTCATAATTTCCTGTTTGATCTTACTTTCCCCCCACCACATAAATATATTCAGCAAGTGTTACCCATGCCCATTGATGACAGTTACCCCACCGCTACCCCAAGCTAGAAAGAAGACAAACTTTTAATCTATATTGCTATCACAAAAGTAAAACAATAAAAAATATGATTACATGGCAATTCAGGTTCTTCTTTCTCCTAAACCTATAGGACACTATTCTTGTGTACAGCTTTCCCATCCAGTTGGCTATGACCTCTGAGAAGAAGTTCTCTTACCTTCATAACTACAGTCTCGGTGTACCTCCTGTTGCCCTATGCTTCCTCCCTCTGGTGTCTGAAGCAGCTAAAACCATCACCTACAGCAAAAACTTAATAAAATTCTGTGCTGAAAGGAGCAAACCCCATGGCTGTAGCACTTCGGAAAGAAACAATCTGCTTGCTGGAGGTGTATCTCTGAAGTTAAAAACACTAGATGAAAGTGGTTGACAAAGCAGGAAGGTAAAGGGACTCATGGAGCACTACCATAAACTGAGGACCAACAACAAGAAACTTGGGGTAGTTTGCCACGGTGTGTCATTTTTGAAAACAGGATCATATTCTGAGAATCTGTGAGCAGCCACACCTGTGGAGAAAGGACAGGTGTGACCTGAAAGCTGGATATCCCAAATATTTGCAACGCTGCCTGCTTCAGGCAGCCAGCTGTAAAACAGAGTCAGTATGAGGGGGGTGGAAAATAAGCATGGGTCACATTAAAAAAAACCAAAACTGTTCCCTTGGGCATCCAGGAAGAATAAAACATCCAGCTATGGTCAGGCAGGAGCACCTTCCACTGCTCTCCTCTGCTGCCTGAAGCTGCCACAGTACAGCGCAGTTTTAGGCGGACAGCTGCCAAGCTATTCTGGTACTACTGTAAAAGAATTCCATGTGAGATTCACTTGGACTTCTTTAGACAAAGATTTGAAACACTGAAGGAAACACCTTTTTATTGTAAAGGTGACTGAGCATAGGAACAGGTTGCCCAGAGAGCTGGTGGAGTCTCCATCCTTGGAGATGTTTAAAAGCCATCTGGACATAGTCCTGGGCAACGAGCTCCAGATGACCTGCTTGAACACAGGGTTGGACAAGGTGACATCCAGAGGTCCCTTCCAACGTCAACCATTCTATGATTCAATGATTTGTGCCAAAAGATACTTCTACATGGGGCTACTCTAATATAAACTCCACTGTCCATGCTCTTAACTGAGTGAAATACATTCCCTGACACAGCAATCTCTCCAAAAGATTTGAGTGGTATCTGAAAGATATGGCAATAATATTATGCTTCATTTTCCATTTCTGAAACAGATCTTGTTTGTCTAAATCCTACATTAAAACAGTTATCACTGTCCCATTTACCTTTGGAACAACATTTGCAAATAGATGATCCAGCAGCTTAACAGAATCTGTGCCTTTTACTTTAAACTTGCCAAATGGTGACAGGTCAATCACACCGACTTTTTCCATAACCTGTTTATACTCACGACCCACAGGGTCAAACCAATTTGTGCGCCGAAAACTGGGTCTGAAACAGAGCATTTACATATATAAAACACAACTTGGAAATTTTGTGCTCTTTTCAGCAAAACGTAGTCTTCAGTTTCTTCAGTTCAATAATCATTCAAAAGAGATAGACTTTCCTAATTGTAGGTAGCTTACCCAATATTTTCCTTGGTCTAACATAGCTTAATTATTAAAATCCTTTAACAACAGAGAAAGATATGGGTTGATATTTTATCAACCATTTTGTACAATAAACTGTGAACTGTTCAAATGTTAGAAGTAGTAGTCTGTCATGTGTAAATTTACAGCATACTTTGTTGCTGAATCATTTATTTGAGTTTAAGGTGTCAAAGGCTTTATTTCTGAACAGCTGAGTGTGTCTCTTTATTCCTTTAAGAGCCTCATTTAGATTGGAACTCCAGTATCCCTGTGGAAAACATTTATTTGCTGGATGCTCCCTGATGCAAGCAGGTAACGAGGTAGGCAGGCACAGAAAAAAAAAAAAAGAGGATTGGGCTTCTCCTTTCCTGAGAATTATACAGAATCAGCTTTTTCGTGAAAACATTATACTGTGCTGCTGATCAAATAATAAGAAAGGGAGAGAAATACAAATTTATAATGAACAAGTTGTTCTCCAATCTTTTCCTTGAGCTAGGCTGCTCCCTGATACCCCATAGCTAGAGAGTTACAGGAAACCTCAATGTGTGTTTTGAAATGTCTGCATTATCAGAATGAAATGGATTCTAAACTATAGAAAAAACAATAATGGAAGATCTATCTAATAGATACCTTTAGCTGAAATGAATGATAAATGTATGCTTTTTATTAAACTTAACTCAGATGGCCCTTGTTGTCATGACAATTTATCAGCGGGGAAGCGGGGGTGTGGGGGGGAGGTAATCTTTTATTTACTTGTATCCAGTCTCATCTCCAGGTTTGTAGAACCAATGAGGTTGCTCCCATCCTGCATGAAAGCCCATTGAACATTTTGATTTCAGCAAATCATACAGCCCACTGGTTCTTTCAGTTGGTCTCCCAGCAAATCTTTCTTCTTTAGGGTAACCAACTAGAGGGGAAAAAAAACCAAACCAAAAACCACGGCATACTAAATACTGTAAATCACGAAGATAGAATAGATATTAATATATATATATAAACAGAGAAATCTAGAGGCAGGCTTTGATGGAATCGATTTTTGGGATATAAATATATTTTAAAAAATACCTTCTTACCAATGTTATTAAAACCATAAGATTCTCTTGCTTTGGCTGCTGTGTATTCTGTGGTGGTCCACTTTCCATACCGGTTGGGATCCAATTCTATCAGGTCAAATGTAGGTTCTCCCTCAAGGATCCAGTCACTGAGGTACTTTCCTATGCCACCAGCATGTATAATGCCATACCTTAAAAACAGGAAAAAGTCCTGTAGTGCCAAGTCTTTTTTTGTTCGTTTTTAAAAATCAGTACTAGCATATACTACTAATACACCCCCTAAAGTATTCTAAATTTTTCCCTCTGTTTTTTTCTTATTTTGATTTGTTCTATTTTGTCTTGTTTTCCAAGATTACATGGTTTATTGACAGATATTTCTACTGCCCCACTGTCAGCAGCAAAACTCCATTGCTGATGTACGGCATTTGCAGTGTTTGAGATAGCAGCAAGCATTTTCTTTCTCTAAAGTTCAGAATTTAACAATCTTTTCCAGGGACATTAGAACTCTTCAACAATTAATACTAAAGAAAGTACTCAAACTTCTGATATCCATTAAATACACTTTCTAGGTATTTTGTCATAGAATACCTCTTCTTTTTTACCCAGATTTGATTAAACCAGACTCACATTTGAAAATCAGACATTCTAGCAGCTACAATGAATATTTACATTACAGTGACAAGAGCAACAGCAGCAAAAGTCAGGAGACAACACTACCAAGACAGCTTTAATGAATCAGGGAATTTAGAGGAACTGCAGATAAAACTAGAAGACTTGTTTGCAGTGGTGCAAGAGTTGAAAGCTGCTTTTTCTCACCTGATTTACGTTCCCTGTTCTCCACTATAACTACAAAGAGAACTGTTTCCAGAAAGCTTATGCTAACAAAATAAACACGTAAAATTTTCTGCTACCAGTCTGTAGCAAAAGCCTGTCCTGTTTCTACATAATGAGTGCGTGAAGGATCAGACTGTAGAGGAAATCTCTTGTTAGAAACCTGCATTAAAGGAACCACACCAGACAGCAAAGGTAGATGCTCAAAAGTTATGAAGTGATAGATGAAAGGATTCCTTACTTAAACATTTTGTACATAATTCTAACTTTCAAAATGCTTGACATTTTGACATCCATAGGGAAAAAGCTGTGTATGAAATGTGCTCCTGTGAGGTACCTGAAGTGGACAACTGGGGACAAGGATCTTTGTTGTGCTGCAATATGTGTATCTTGCTACTCAGTCTACATATGACCAAACAGTACTACGTAATGCTGAATTAGAGGCACCTCAGATTTGACACCAAAACATTTAATGACAAATAATTTTTAATACTGAATTATTTAAAACTTTTTATTTTAGTACCTCTGTGAATTTGTTTGCCATGTCTAAAAAATAAGTGTCAAAATAGCCTCCTGTCCAGGGAAGATGTGAAAATAAGTTCTTAGTTATTTGTGAAGTGCTCCAATGAGCACAACAGAAAAATGCTTGAAGAAATAGTAAGTCTGTCCAAAACCACATTTAGATTAGCATGCACCAATTAAATCACAGACACTCACACTGAATAGTGAAGCTAAAACAAAATTGAATTGCTGTTTATCAACTTCGCATCCTGAATTCTATGCCCTCAATTAAATAGGCAAGGATCTTATGGGAAAAAAAAAAAGGATGTAATCATTTAATTCTAATGCATATGCATAAGGAGAATGAATTCAGATTACACAGATAACTTAGTTCTGGCACTTCCTAACTGTAGGATGCCTGACTTCATAATATTAATGAGATTACTTTGATATAGTGGGGTTTTATCTGTAATTTATTTATTGATTTAAATAAAACAGAAATATCAAACAGCTGAGTACATGAAGTAATTCTGCCAAACACACTCCTTTAGGCTGTTCAGCATAAATATTCAGATTCTCAGCACAAGCTTGTGTCACCACAGTTGATGCAATAAGGATGAGTGCTTGTAAACTGCCACTCCGCAAGTACTACAGAACGGCTAGCCATCGCTGGAGTTCATTTAATTAGGCAGCTCTCAGTTATTCATGGATGTAAGTTTTGTAACCATGGCTATGATGCCTTCAAGATCGGCTCTAGAAGAAGTTTTAGACAGCTTAAGTCTCTCTGCACCATTCACTGCAGCCAAAAGCACAGGGGAACACAGCACAGAGACCACTGCATGACTCTGGGTGGCAACAGACCAAATACAATGAAGTTTTTTAGCTTTAGCTAAAGACTGCTGAGCTGATGGCAGGGTAACCCTGGGGGCAAGACAGCCCTGCAATGTGGAGTTGCTACTACAGGCACAGCACTGCACGTGGGCTGACTGGTCTCTGCGCTCTGCAGAACTTTGCAGCACTGACTCTGTGCAATCTGTTGATTTTGGTGCTCCTAGCTGGGCCTACATTATCATTGGGTGCCCAAATCCATCATTACGTCAGATAATGGGGAGCTGATTGTATTAATATACCACTGCAGTTCTGCTACACAAGAATGAAACACCTGCTTTGCAGGGATGGGATGTTACAAGTAGTTGTAAAGAGTGGTACAGTTTAGGAATCTCAGTCTTCACATGAGGATTTAGAGAAAATTCCCTTAATGAACACAAACTGCCCTTCTCTGTTCTTCTTCTCTCCTTCCAATCCCTGCCAGATTATCTTCCCCATTGTTCCTGTCCTATTCTTGTGTCTTACTTCTTTGTAAGTCCTTGCTTCCCACCAATTTTCAACTCATTCCACTCCTTTTTCCTAGGAAATCTGACTCCTTGCATACCATGGTCCCTTTTCTAGTGTCTTTGACCCAAGTTTAGCCATTTTTCTATCCCATTTCTGCAGGAAAACTCCTGTTCAGTCTCTGTCTATGGAATACTACTGTAGATAGAATGCAGGAATCTTAGTGCAAGATTTAGTGAGTCTCTATTAAGTGTTGATGAGCTGTAACATTTATAAAGGCTTGTGAATGGGCCTCATAGATAGATTTTGTGAAGAACAGCAAAAAGGCTTTAGGAGAAAGGTCAGTTCTGCCAAATGTGAAGCTCATTCTCAGAAAATGGGGAAATTAGAGATTTTCAAAAGAAAGACTTCACCCCAAAAACCTTAACACAGCAAAACAACATAACTTTCAAAAAATCTCGTTCTTTGGCATGGTTACACTGCTTTGACTTAAACTTTTTTCAATAACATTCTAGCCTACTCTTGTTAACATTTTCAAAGCTATAACTGAAAACAGTCTTAAATGGGAAGTGTTGAGCAACCTTAATAATAAACAGTGCTACAAGCTCTGCTAACTATACTTATTAACTTCTTTGCACATTAAAATGCCTAGCAAGCTGCTAATTTTAGGTAATAAAAATCCTCTAAACTAACAGCACTAAGTCCTCTGTCACAATGTCCCTGCTAGTTGACTATGAGATAAGGATTTGCTAATGCACACAAAAAATTACAACACTGGTAGAAACACTGCAGTGACCCAGAAGCGTAGAACAGAGTCAAAAGTCCCTGAAAAGCAGACAAAGCAATCCAATGACAGCAACATAATTGCGACCTGTATCTAAACATTTAGAGATTAATCAAATTCCTGAAATAAGTTGTTTAAAGAAACTTAAACATGTAACACTGGTCTTCAGTTATTCCTATATGGAACTTTGATTCTGCTCCCATTGACACCAATGAAGAAAAACAGGCTCCAAAGTCTGGCAGCACAGTAATGAAGTTAAACAATCGGTGAACGAGGACTAGGCAAATCACTTTTGTAACTATAAGTTCTGCGAATGTTACTAAAAGATAACAATTTTTTTTTTTTTTAAATCCAAGCAGCAAAGGTGAATACCTTTCACAATGAATCATTGCAAAATTACCAAACCTTTTTATTTTGAGGACCTCGGAAAGCACGTTAGTGGTACTGCCTTATCTTATGATCTGACGGTTTGTTTGGTTTGGACTGAAAGAAAACTGGAAAAACCTGAGCTGGATTTTGAACAGCAAGTTAGGCAATTTGAAAACAGAATGTGTTCAATTACATGTGCCTGGAATTGTATTCAGTTCATTCTATCCATCTTGAATCAATGGTCAAACTAAGACAATTAAAGAGAAGTCAGTTGGAGTTTTACCACTGACTTCCGTGGGGCCAGAGTATATAAGATGTAAGTCACATTCAAAGAAAATATTGTAATGGGCAGGAGAGAATAATGACACCAATAAAACACGCATTCCTGTTGTCACACTGCGCTCATTTGCTTTCCTCCAACATCTAGCAACATCATTTCTCAGCTCAACCTTCAACAGTCAGAACCATTACTGTGTTCTTATCCCTAGAGCAGCCAGTACGCTGGCAGTGCCTTCTGCTTAGTATGCCTTCCACTCTTCACCTGGAAGTTAATACCTCATATTAGAAGTTCTCCCTGTACCAATCATTCTTGCCACAACTTCAGTGACACCAGTTTCTGCATATGCCAAACAATGGTTGACCACAATGTAATTCAAAGCAACACATAAAATGAACTGGAAAGTGTGTTGTGAAGGCCAGCAGTTTTATGACTTTAACTTGCTGCACAGACAGTACCAAGTACTACCCATTTCTTGCTGCTTCATAAAGGGTCACAGATATTGGCCTCCAGAATAAAAGGAGGAAACAAATTGAAAAAATAGTGAGAATTACGAAGAAGAAGTGAGAGATTACGTAGGTGTGGTAATTACGACTATTTCCAATTATATTTTACATAAAATACATGCAAAACAATCCCCAAACCCATAAAAATTCGCAAAGCTTGAGCTGACTGCCATTTTAACAGTATGACAGACAGAAGTTGTCATGAAGAATTTACTCACCCGAAACCAATAGCTACCCAGTAATTTCTGACACCCTGATGTGGTCCCACCATAGGAAGAATGTCGGGAGAATAGGTGATAGGACCCGCAATTGTGTTTACGATGTCTGCATTTTTCAGAACTGGGACCATTTCCATAGCAGCCTCAATATGCTCCATTATTCTGTCTAAATCAGACTCAAAAAGTTCTTTTCCAAAACCTGTACAAATATTTGACTCTTATTATATACTTAATTACACTGAAAATACTTACATTTTAAATACAGTTATGCAATTTACATATATAAAAGTTATATGGAATTCATCAGTGAGTTTGTTCAAGCCTTTGCCATCCTACACGAGAAATTGGTGCGCATAAATCCCTAGCTACCTGCAGGATCAAGTTTATTGTTACTGCAGTTACAGTGTCCTTTATACATATTTGTTTAACCCTAAGATCACGCAAATTCAACAATGATGTAGAAAAGAAATGGAGAAACACAGAAACTTCCTTCTATGTTAACAAGACCCACTTATTTTTCTCAATATGCCAACAATTTGGGAGGGGAAGAAAGATATTGCCTGTGTCAGCTTATGATTTCCATGGTGTTTAGTGAATTCCTGGATGTATTTCAGCCTTCAGTCTGGGCTCTAAGCATTATTAAACATCACTTTGTAGAGGGACTTGACACTATTGGAGACAGTAAGTTCAGGAAGCTATGACAGTGCAATCCAAAGCCCAACAATGTTGATTGCTCTTCCTTCGGAAACACGTGTTTTTTTTAAAACAGCAACACTATTGACTTAATATAACTTTCTGCCCAGAAGTGAATAGAAAGCTGGAGCCTAGATATAACACAGTAATTTTAATTTTTTTTTTTTAATAAGCAGTAGTATGACATTGTTGGGATGTTTTGTACAAAAATTCTACACAAATCTACAGCTCTCTTGCACTTATATCCGAGCACAGCATTTTGTCTAAGACATTCCTTTGCTATACCTGTGTTCCTATTTGACAACCACATTATCTCTGTGGGAACAGCAAAAATCCAAAGCCCCTGTCATTATGCTGGAGAGAACTGTAACTTAGAAAAATCCCTATTCAGTTGCAAAAGGCTACATAACACAGATTTGGTTATCTAATCACATCATACATCTAATCACAACACACAGGCACCTGTTCAGAGAGTAGGGTAAGACTATGTTGTAGATGTGTTTTTTATGTTACGTTTTTATTTCTGTTCACTCCTACCATTAGAGTTCTATTCTTCGAAAAAAAGTTTCTACATTACAATTGCGCATTGCAAATATTTTCTATTTTCCATAACATAAGGCAGCATGGCAGGCTGGGATTTATACACATTAAAACGTGTGCTAGTGCGTATCAAGTTTAAAGATTTAATGTTCTTAATTACCTGGTGGGACTCCATTTGTTACCCATGAGTCCTGCAGCTTCATCTTCTCCTCACTTTCGTATGGACCAAATAAAAGACCATCCCTTTCTTGCCTTAGATAATATGATCCTTCTAAGTCACGAATCACAGGCAATTCTGTTTTTAGGGCTTTCACTTCAGGGATAGTTGATGTCACAACATACTGATGATGAACGGGTATGAGAGGGTGCTGCAGGCCAATCATCTTGCCTATTTCACGGGCCCAGAAGCCTAGAGAAGACAAAAAACAAAATAGAAATATTCAAAGACCAATTTCAGTGAATAGAAAATAACAGTAAAACATTTGCAGGAAGCACATGGAATGTGACAAAGACATTTTTTTCCATACTTTTAATTTTCAAATTATTTTTCATATTATCCAGCATAATTTTCTCTCTATAATTCGATGTCCTTGTTTCTAATTATACTACCATATATTATTCTAGTATACAGATATTAAAAAAATGTAATTGGAAAAATATAAATTAGGCTTCTAAAAGTTCAGAAGAGAGTTTAGTTAACAGTCCCACAAACTCCATGGTTTATTTCAGTAAAGTAGGTCTGCAATGCAGTCATGGCAAAGTCAGAGACGCTTAAAAATCAGAATAAATTACCTCACACCATAGGTGTTAACCTAGCCTCTTACTATCAACCAAATGAGCTAGTATGTTTTCCCAGGACAGTAGTCAAGTCCTAACGCCCCGATAGAGCAAGGCAGTACTTTCAATCCATCCCACTCCTACCACTTGGATGCTAGTGCCAGCAATAGATGCCCAGAGCCTGAAGGATCACAGGTCATCAGGAGAGCGCCTGAAAAGCGGGACAAAGGACCCCCAGCCAGTAAGACAGCTTCATCAGGGGCCCAACTTAAATGCCTCTGTGCAAACGCACGTAGCATGGGGAATAAACAAGAGGAGTTAGAGATGTGCGCACAACTGCAGGGCTACAAACTTATTGGCATCACGGAGACGTGGTGGATGGCTCCTATGATTGGAGTGTTGGGATGGAGGGATACAGACCCTTTAGGAAGGACAGGCAGGGCTCGCCCTCGAGGTCACTGCCCAGCTGGGGTGCATGGAGCTCCGCCTGGGATGGATGAGGAGCCGGCCAAGAGCTTATGGGTCAGGATTAAAGGGAGGGCAGGCACAGGTGACGTTATGGAAGGGTCTGCTACAGGCCACCTCATGAGGAAGTCAGAGCGGATGAGGCTCTCTATAGACAGATAGGAGCAGCCTCACATTCAGAAGCCTTGGTCCTCATGGGTGACTTCAACCACCCCGATATCCGTTGGAGGGACAACACAGCAGGGTGTAAACAATCCAGGAGGTTTCTGGAATGCGTCAATGATAACTTCCTTCTCCAAGTGGTAGAGAAGCCAACGAGGAGAGGTGCTATGCTGGACCTTGTTCTCACCAACAAGGAGGGACTGGTGGGGAATGTGAAGCTCAAGAGCAGCCTTGGCTGCAGTGACCATGAAATGGTGGAGTTCAAGATCCTTAGGGCACCAAGGAGGGCGCACAGCAGGCTCACTACCCTGGACTTCAGGAGAGCAGATCTCAGGGATCTGCTTCTTAGAGTGCCATGGGACAAAGCCTTGGAGGGAAGAGGGGCCCAAGAAAGCTGGTTAATATTCAGTGATCACCTCCTCCAAGCTCAGGAGCGATGCATCCCAACAAAGAGGAAGACAGGTAAAAATGCCAGGAGGCCTGCATGGATGAACAA